CGCGTCCCCTGTATGCATACATTCGTGAAATTATCGCGGTGCGTACGAAAGGGAAGCAATGTACAAGGCCATTCAATTCAAAGGAAAACGATCAATAACCTCATCAAGTTAGGGCGAGACTAGCCATAAGTTCAGTCTGCTTGCACAAATTGGGCTTAAGCCGCCGAATAGCTGAGGCTTCGGCAAAGTAAAGCAATCAGGCAATGCTTTGTAGGTTAATTACATTTTAAAAAATCACGAGGACCTTGGCACATTGTGCAATCCAGGACGGGTTGAGCAATAGAGCTAGGCAGTAGTCTGGGACCGTTGGCGAGCATGTTTCGTGGAATGGCGGTTGTAGGAAACTTGCTTCTATATAGGCTGTTAAAACAGCTAAGAATTTTTGCTTTATATGGGCTTTTAAATGGCTGTTTTTCCGCGGCATTCTGTATATGCGAAATAGCTTTTCAGGATGATACATCCCGGATTTGTGTGAAGTTCAGCTCTTGCTATTAATACAGCTACTGACACCACTAAGCACTGAAGATGACACCTCGAATGGTGACGAAGCGTCTGCAATCGAATCGCCCAATAAATCCGACATCTTGGAATATGATACATGGAGCTTTTGCGTCGCAAGCGAAAGGTTGTGCGCTTATTAGTTACATTGACCAGTCATCCAGCAAAACTTCTGAAATGACGCGCGTTAAGTTCTTATAATATGGCAAAAACAGTGATCCATGGAAGCATAGTTGGAGCACGTGTATGAGAATTTGTATTCACACTGTTTAGTGCACAAAAGCCAATGGTGGTGTCAAAGGCCTGTCCAAAATATGTCACGCCACTTGTCAAAAGGGACATCGGAACCATGGCAGACGAAAAAAATTGGAGAAAAAGAAATACGAAAGATGAAAAACAGCACTAGGGAATGGACAACAGAAACCTAGGTATGACTTTTGCGTGGATTGCTAGCTCACGCAAGTTAGTAGGCAAACAGACGATAGTTGGCTCAAACACACGACCACAACATCATCGTTTGGAAGGTCTTAACAACACATGGACTGGTAACAGTTAAAAGTGTTTAATCCTGATCGTGTGCTCAGTTTTGTGGTTAATCAGGTCGTATGACAAAGCATACCAGAAGCAGGGACAGGCGAGAGATTGGATGAGCCGTAAGAGATAAAACGCACACAGACATTCCAAGGATTTTAATCAATTATTGACGCTTCATTAGTTTGGATCGTAAATTGTACATGTTAACAACACGTGCAAAACGGCCGCTTAGTTAGCTTGCGTGAGGTTCGTAGGACACCCACGACTTACGAATACCACCTAAATGGAGAATACGATTAACTACCTCGACTCCATATAATCCACAATGGTCTAACACCAATTCATCGATAAAGACATATATTTGGTGCAGTCACCACGCATTAAATGGATAAAAAAACATTATAATCGGATCACCAAGGTGGCCACCGATGGACAGGCGGAGGTGTCAGAGCCAAAGTCGGACAGGCCGTGCACCGACACTGCAGTGGGCGTACATATGAGCACTTGAAGGTGGACTGTCATCATCATCATTACACATTAGCTGAAGGTGAGAAACACACTTCAAGTATTGTGCAGTAATACAAAAAAATACATGAAAAAGCGAGAGACAAAACATTTAGGCAACAAAAACAGATAAGATACTGTTTAGTAACATAGAATACTTCAAGACTGAGATCACGGTTGGAGGTGGATGATAAGCGGGAATGTGAAGGACAAATTAACTAAACACAAACGTCACTGAGGTCGGCTCTTCGCCATGTCAACATGCGTATCTAATCAAACGCGTTTATTATCTTTCGGACACCAGTCCGGGAGACACCAACCGATGCCAAATACAAAGTGAGCGCTTCCATCCCTTTTAAAAAGGATATCGCTTGGCCCCGCCTCTTCTTCTTCCATCTGAAGTATTGTCCCGTACAGAACACATAACGTGGGATTCAGCGTACTGGCATGCACCATAGACGATCTAGACATCAGAGCCTGGTGTGCAAAAAGATGGCGCTGAGCAGTTCACTCGCTATTCGTGCACCAGATACATGACGCCGAACACATTCTTTAGGCAGTGTTCCCACCAGACATGAAGTGAGCTGCAAAAACATGGAAGGTCAAGCGATACAAGTCTCTTTATGTCCGTCCGATGGGTCAGGTTTTGCAGCCATACAGGAGGGTTGAACCCACGGCTGCGTTGTAAACACCACTTCTGGAGGAGAGTGAGGTCGCGCCAGCTCCACAGGTGACGGAGATTAGCTTAAGCGCCTCGGGCTTTCGCAATACGGTTGGGGATCTTGTCTTCGATCTCACCGGCGCTAGTAGAGCCGTATACAAACTGGAATTCCCCGAAGACTTGTAGTCGATCACGGCCAAGGGTCAGTGCAGAGGTGGGTCCCTGCAAACCATGGAGAAGGACTTTGCATTTAGAGGGTGCGAAGCATAGCGCGATATGACTGACAGCCAATGCTAATTTGTTCAATGCCGATTAGAACATTTGGGAACTAGCACAGAACATTGTCGTCGGGGTACTTCCAGTCAAGAAGTCGATCTGCTAGGAGCAACTAAAGTGACAGTTTTGCTCATAGCCACTCCATCGTCAACTGATTACGAAGTGATCGATTTGCGTCCGTCGCTGGTCGGAGGTTGGTGGGCCCCATGCTACCCTTCGGCGTGTGCTGTGTCATGAGTTAGCGTACGTGGAGAATGGACGAGTTTCTTCCCACGAGTGCAGCAACCGCTCGCGGCTATCATTATGGGAGCCCACACAGCGTTCGTCGTCCAGATGTAGCTTATCAGTGAACAGTTTCCCAACATGGGCGTTCAGATCACAAGCAAGCACTACAATATCCGTGCGCTTTCTAAAACGAAAGAGCACGTTCAGTTGGTAATTTTTACCGAGTTCGAGCTATAGTTTGAGGAGTAGGCTGCAATGACAAACAGATACCTGTTGTCTGGGTGTGACTTCGAAGCGTTTAACCAGCGAATTAATCTGACGGCACACAGCTGGCTGACGATTGGGACCTAATCGATCAGAGCAGCTTCAGCCCGGGGAGTCACAACAATGTCCACAGTGGCTTGACTGGCATATAAAGCTGCGTCCTCTCCAGACAAACGCACTGACAAAGTGTCCCCAGCATCACATGTAGATCGCAGGATATGTACGGAGCTCGAATCACGCAGGCGTTTCCGATAAACAGCACATTCGTTCGGTAGAATCTCTAGTGTGCGGGCAAGGGCTACCAGTTGGTCAATATGTAACAAAGCACGGCGTGTTTGTGATAACTGTGTCCGGATTACGGACTGCTTCTTAGTAGCAACGTTTTCAGATACAGTGGGCGCCGAAGTGCCACTTGGATTCCCCTGTAGCTTGCCAGCGATGGATCCAAATTGATCATGTTACCACAAGTCACAGGTGGCATGGTTCCATGCTGGACTGCCGCTCGTTCTGGAATGCCTGCGTCGACTCTAATCATGTCTTAAAGTACTAGCGTTTTCCATGAAATTTACCGTGAAGCGATTGTAAATGAAGAGGTTATCTCAATCCCTGATCAGGCTAGTTTGACAGGTTGCTCTGCGTACGCAACATTCTCTCTCTCTAATAACAATGACATTGGGCAACAGTGGAATAGAATCACGACCACAATGCACAACGGGGGAGCCAATGCTAGTGGCTCTAGCAATAGTCACCGCACCATTCACTGGATATCCCAGAGGTCGATGAACCAGTTGAAATCCAGAGGAGAATCCAGAATGGATCTGAACACAACATAAGCAGATGAACCATAGGCATGAAGCAAAACGGGGTCTGCATGTTGACAAAGAAGCCTGACAGACCAGTCAGACTCAAGCAACGGAGGAGCCTGGAGTACTAGACAACTATCGCAAGCTCTTACAACTGGTCCACACTACAAGTCCCAGAAAATCAGGCGTCACTGAGACAATCAGAGACAGCGCGGGTGTCCTATACCACAATAACGAGCGCTGCATGGCTCATTGAGCGGAGCACCCTTGAGAACAGTTCAGTTGTCCCCCTGATCAAGGGCCCATTCATTTGCAGATGGTGCAGGCTAAACCATGTCCGGTTAGTTAAGTGACTTCATCGGAGGCTGAGATCCAAAACACGATCACAGCCCTTAGTAGTTTTGCAGCTGTTGAGCTGGATTCCCTTGCACCCACACCATATAAAGACGGTGGTGAGGTCCTCTGCAAAGAACTGACCTCCCTGTTCGAACAGGTTTAGAAGGAAGAGGCCATCCCAGTTAACTGGAGTGAATCGATTGTAGCGGCAATGTACAAGAAGAGCAGTCAGATCGACTGTGCTACCACAGGGGTATTGGGCTAATGCCTCAATTCTCGTTCCTCACCCCACTGCAGAACGGACATCCCGGTTAGGGGATATCAAGTAGGCCGAATGGACCATATAATCATTCATAGGCATGTGTTACAGGAGCGTCACAGGTACCGCGTTCAACGCGATCTATCGAACCGCTCTGTTCGAAATATTTGGGAGGAAAGGTATTCCCACGAAATGTAAGCATTTTACGTTCCCTGTACTCGAACATCACAAGCGGCGTCAGAGTCAACGGTGAACTGCCGGATATCTTTCCCACAACAAGTGGCGTTCGTCAGGGTTGTTCAATCTTCCAGTTTTTGTTTACCTTTATAATGGATTCCACCATGGAGTGTTCCCTTGCGAAATCTCCCCATGCAGACGTTGAAGTGCTGTCTGGTTGATCGTGAGTCTGCAGTACAACCTTGGTAGCCAACAAAGGACACCATTGTTGTACGGTAACGAAGCATCAAATCAAATAGTTGACGTACTACTGTTGTTGGGATGCAGATGTTGGTCAACACAAATTAATCTGTAGTCGCTTCAGAAGGTTCGACAGACTGCAGTACTAACAAACTCAACTATACACCAGTAGTATGAACTGGTGATTCGCTGAAACAGTGTGGAACAGATCGGATAGACTCACTGCAATGTAATCGTCCCTGTCCTGCATTAAAGATGGAGAGAGCTCATCGTCTTACGTTATCCCGCTCCATGTAAACAATCCGTGATCACATCGGATTCTTTAGTCGCAAAGAAGGTAGACACAAGCGTTGCAGAATAAGTTCAGGTGAAAGGAAAATCGGTACAATGAGCTGAGCCGGCCGCATCACTCTGACCAACGTTCAATCAGATGAGTATGAACGAAAGTAACAGTTTTCTGTTCATCGATAGCGCTTCATGAACTGATGTCTTTCTTCGACCTTTGCTTGACCAATACCGACGAAAGTGTCAACTAGATCCAAAGCCGTGCTTCGTTGCTCCACTGAAACAACCTCTACACAAGGAACGGATAAAGTAGGTTCTCCTATTCCGACAACAAAACTCCGATTATATCGAACTCCTCATGCACAAGGATTAAAGGAAAGTCTAAGCGCTTGGAACAGTAGAGTAATGACAACCGGTCCAAACCAACAACGCACGTCCAAGGATACAAAACCTATGCAATTCATAGTCCACTGTCGCCCAAGGACAACTTCTCCAATCCAGGGACCTGTGCCTTTAAAAAACATTTGGATACTATATACTCGGTTGCACCCAAAGTGCCCTATCGACCAACCTCCTACAACCACCAGGGTAAACAACCTTCCATGTTGAATAAGACTAGTTACAATTGTCTCTTGGCTACGCCTAATTATTATCCTACACTCCACAACAATTACCGGAAGTGCACAGAGAATGGAAGGACATCGACCAGTAGGACTAGGTTACCATTCGCTCCTTTCTTTTCCGCTTCCTTTGCTCTCAAGTGGCTTCTTCCAACAGCCATTTTTAGCGGCGGCGGGAATGGACTCGCACTCATTCCCATCTCAGATACATCAGGCGGAGTACAACAGCTTGATCCCACTCTTCCTCCAATTTTTCCACATGAAAAAGCTAGTCCATTCCCAAATCAACGGCAACCTAAGCATGATGCTTCGGTTCCCGTCGTACCTCCAACTGTCTCGATATCCACACCTGACATGCAACTCTTATCAACAAATGTACTAATGGCTAACTCCGGCCCACCATACTAGCACTTACCTACCAGGTGCACAATTCTCGAAAGCAAAGATCCAGATGCTCACACAAAAGAACGCGATAAGTACATTTTCAGTGATTCTGATTAATGCCAGATCCATAATCAACAACCTGCACTTCATAAACACACTTGCACAGTTCAATGACCCGCAAGCGATCCTTGTCACTGAAACATGATGTTCTTCAGATACGCTTGACCCTACTCTGATGATTCCAAACAACCACCTACTTCGAAAATATCGCTGCGACAGAAAAGGTTTAGGGTGTACCATACATATGCGCAAAAGATTTAAAGCCAAACCTATAGACCACCCACAATTGGAAAAAATCCCTGAATGTAGTTGGCTGTCAGTTGCGGGTGTCTCATCTTACACATTGCTCGCATGTGTCTACAAACCACCGAATGCGTCTAACGTGAGTATCACCAACATCACTTCTGCATTTGAGTTCGCATCAGAGTTGCTACACAGCCGCCGATTTCAACCTACCGAAAATACGCTGGACAAACCACACAACCTTTAGCTTGGACGCCACTTTTCTTTCCTCCATAAGAGCAGGGGGCTGGACACAATGGATTACCAGTCCAAACAGGTCCAACAATGTACTGGACTTAATATTCACATTGCGGGTAACTAACCCACAGGCCGAGATCTTATACAATCTCCCTGCCAGCGAGCATAAAATGATCCGACAGAGTCTGCAAATAAAAACGGTCACTAAACTCGTCTCTACGCCACCAGTTGTAACCCATAAGATAAAAAGGGGAATGCCAGTTTGAGGCAAACACTTGTTCGCAATGATTCATCTACAGGCCGGTACAAGGTGAAACTACAAAGGGATGGATAGTGATTGGTTCTGGAGTTTGTTCTGAAATGACTCGGTTAATGGATAGAAAGCGAATAGTTCGCCGCTGTCTCATTCACACAGATCAATTGAGGGTTACGTAATCGCAATGCCTGAGCCGATGTCAGGGTGACGGCTAGGCTGATGGCTATTCGGTCAGGGCAAGTATAGAGATTGAACAAACGTTTTTTGCGAGAACAGTGGGGGTTAGAATATTCCGATCGCAATGGCCTCTGCAGTGGCGAGCATCCTTAACCGCGTACCTTTCGATTTGCCCATTAGCATCTGATAAATCATTAGTAAAGGCATTCGGGAGAATAATCAGGTGACCTGATCCGAACAGATGTGACAAAATACCGCTTGTAGGAACTCCGGTGCCCCTGTTCAACAACCATTTAGGGCTATGCTCCTGAATGCAACGTGACAGTTGACGAGTCGTCCGACCAAAGTAGGTTGCCCCACAAGTGCACTCAAATTGATAGATAAAGTAAGAAGAGGTCAGCTTCGGCAGTCTGTCTTTGTTGCACAGAGGAATTAGCTGGTTTTGGTGAAGATGCATCGTAATTCCGCAGCCGGAAGGGTGTTTCTTATCGATTGCGTGAGTTTTCTTGTTAAAAGCACACTAACTGTATCACCTTCAAAACCAAGGCGGACGAAGAGGGCCTCTTTCGTTTTGACCATTACTATCGTTATATGGATGATACCTTATGTGACCCATAAAGGTATCTCTCTGGAAGATGTATTGGCAGAAGTTAATGGTGCTCACCCGGCGATTAAGTTCACCTACGAACTTGAACAAGATGGTCAACTTTTATCTTTAGATGTATACCGTAGTCGACGAACTGACGGTTCCATAGTAAGGAAGACCAAAGAGAAAGAAGACGTGGGCCGGTCAGTATACAAAATTCAGTGGTTTTGTACCGCTTAAATACAAGCGTAACTTAGTATGTTGTCTCACCTCAAGAGGGAGAAAGATATGCTCAGAGGATGAGATGAAATCTATCCAGAATGTATAAAGTCCAAAAGGAACTCTGATGTATCGCCAACCTGGATTACTTATTTGAGGATATGGTATCTCTCTTCCCTAATTATTCTACTCATTTACATTGCTTTACTGTGTGCTACAAGCGGTTACCATATCGTATATTTATTCCTTTCACTCGATCACCGATATATCCTTGACGTTTCAAGGTCATTCATATTATTAGGATACTGTGACTGCCAAAATACTCGCTCCGCCGCACGCTGTACAGTTTCTGCCCACTTGCACTACAATTTCAAAATCACGGTTACAGAATAATTCGTTTTATTCTTCTGCCCAGACCGTGCGTTAAGTTTAGGTTTTTTGTTCGTAGTTTCTAGTCTAGTTTTCGTACAATGTACTTAGTTTAGCCTTCGTATCGTTGGTACACACAACACGTTGCGCGAAAATGGTTATCCAGAAAGATTCATTTAGCGCAACATGCAGCCCAAAATAACACCGGTCGTTGAGGACGTCGTCGCATAAAAGGCCGTCTTCATCCGATTTGCATTTAAAGGTGATACAGCTAGTGAGCTTTTAACAAGAAAACTCACGCAATCGATAAGAAACACCCTTCCGGCTGCGGAATTACGATGCATCTTCACCAAAACCAGCTAATTCCTCTGTGCAACAAAGACAGACTGCCGAAGCTGACCTCTTCTTACTTTATCTATCAATTTGAGTGCACTTGTGGGGCAACCTACTTTGGTCGGACGACTCGTCAACTGTCACGTTGCATTCAGGAGCATAGCCCTAAATGGTTGTTGAACAGGGGCACCGGAGTTCCTACAAGCGGTATTTTGTCACATCTGTTCGGATCAGGTCACCTGATTATTCTCCCGAATGCCTTTACTAATGATTTATCAGATGCTAATGGGCAAATCGAAAGGTACGCGGTTAAGGATGCTCGCCACTGCAGAGGCCATTGCGATCGGAATATTCTAACCCCCACTGTTCTCGCAAAAAACGTTTGTTCAATCTCTATACTTGCCCTGACCGAATAGCCATCAGCCTAGCCGTCACCCTGACATCGGCTCAGGCATTGCGATTACGTAACCCTCAATTGATCTGTGTGAATGAGACAGCGGCGAACTATTCGCTTTCTATCCATTAACCGAGTCATTTCAGAACAAACTCCAGAACCAATCACTATCCATCCCTTTGTAGTTTCACCTTGTACCGGCCTGTAGATGAATCATTGCGAACAAGTGTTTGCCTCAAACTGGTGTTCTTGATGAATCACTGAGAATGTTCCATTTGTCAAAACTGGGATAATTTCAGTTCATTCGTTTCTCCGACTGGGATGTATTTTGCTCTCTACCAGTGGGTACACCGCTGTGGAGCAGTGCTATAAAGAAATCCATCACGCTATAGCCCTCCTTGATCCACAATGTGTTCATAACCCTTATGTCTCCAGAGATTCCGCTGAGCAATTAATCGGCAAGAAAAATTGAAAAGTTAGCTGCAAGTTACAGAAAAATCCATGACTTGTTACTTATCTTACAAATGCAAGAATGTACCACCCGAGTCAAACATGCGCAATTAACACGAGGAAAAAATGAAGAACATATAGCCCTACGGAGAAGTTGCAAAGCTTGTCGAAATACTGCATCGTAGAACCAGTGACCGCTCCCCTCTGATTACCGAAATTGTTGATGGTGCGGGTCACTTACTCCATGATCCAGCTGAAATCTGTGAAGCATTCAGTGACTTTCTTGCCATTACCTTGAGTCGCGAAGCTGATCCTGTGCCTATGTGCAGAAAGCTTACAGTAAGAAGCTCTTAACCAGAGTCCATATCTTGCTCAACGGTATGCACCGTTATCAAATCAATCAAGCCATCTTCCAAGCTGGGATCTGATGGCATTTCGCCAACCACCATCAAACTAAGAGGGTCTGATATGCCATTGCTCCTGATGAGCCAGTTTACTCTATCGCTAGAATCTAGCCACTTTTCAGACCAATATAAAAACGTCATTTATTATGCCTCGGCATAAAGGAGGTCCCAAACAAACGATTGATAACTACCGACCAATGCACCACACTCCGATAATCGCTAGGCTATTTGAA